GTCCCGCACGGCGTTGGTGTATTGCGCCGCCTGCTCGATCAGCTCCGCCGTCAGCTTCACCATTCTGCCAGCTCCTCTTGTCGCTGGTCGCCGTCGCTGAGCGCCTCCTGCCTCCGGCCCGCCGCCTCGAGACCACGAGATATCCCAGCGTGCTCCGCGCGCCGGCCGTCAGGCAGCACCAATCGCTGCTGTCTCCCGCGCGTGCGCAGCTCGACCGCCAGGCAAAAGCAATCGAACTCCCCCTTGCCCCACACACCTTCATTCAATGGTAGTGATCTGGTGCGCGCGTCGCCTACTTATCTGCTTTTGGGTTCTTTGATGAGTGAGGTAAAGTCTGGAAGACGCCTGATTCTAGACGTTTGTGTTCAAAAATTAAGCAAAAAGTGGGGACAGCTGAGTGCAGATTTCTTTATATCGGAGAACCTCGAGGGGAGAGAGGAAGCTGTGACGCCCCCTCTCCACCCGGAAAGGACGGGGACCCAGGGAAAGGTCCCGGACTCGGGAGTCTGACCTGCTGTGCACCGTGAGAGCTGAGCTGGGTGCAGGCTTCGAGACCACCCCGCCTCCAGACACTGAGGGTGCAGTCGCGTTGAAATACGCTGTGGGACTGCTGCTCCAGGTGAAAGGACCGCAGGGCCAGCGCACCGCAGTTACGAACACTTCCTTTGCCCCCAAAGGCCACCGCGATGCCAGCACCAGTCTGTCCCGGGATTGAACTCAGGCCCTTGCACTTGCCAGGGAAGCGCTTATTCCACCCAGCCATCTCCCCGGCCCTCTTTTGCTAGCTTCTGACCTAAGTAGAACATTTCAGGGTTTTGTGTGTGTTTCTCTGGATTTATACTATGTCTGGAGTCCCTCCGGGTTGCACACAGTGATAGATGGCTTTTCACTGCTGTAGAAAAGGGCTTTGTGTATTTGGCCTCAGACCAAAGGCGTGCTGCGCGCCAGGCCAGCACTGTACCCCACTGAGCCACGCCCCCAGCGCGTGTTATTTTATTTTGCAATGGTATTTCATTATGTTGTCCAGGCTGGCTTGAACTTGCAATCCCCCAGCCTCAGCTGTGTTTCCAACTGGGGCTGTTGTGAATAATGCTGCTCAGCCGTCGTGTGTGTGGATCCTGGAGTGAAGCTGCTGGGACACGAGTGTGGTAACCGCTAGCCTTGAAGTCATGGCAAACCGCACTCCATTGAGGTGCTGTGTGAGAGTTTTTGTGGCTTCCAACCCCAGCTTCGAAGGTCTTGTGAGTTTATAATTTCAATGATCCTGCTATTGCTTTGGTTGGCTTTTCTCTAATAACTAATAAAGACTGAGAACCATTTTGTGTGTACAGCACCTATATACTCAGTGGCTTCCTTTCTCAGTCCCCTCCCCCTCCCCCTC